AAAAACAAAAAAATATTAATACCTCTATTATGAGAAACTATAAATATGATACCAAAGCGAAAGTGAGACAGACAGGAATATTCAATATTTCTAAGCATAATTGATGACACAATAAGAGAAAACATTTCTATTTCTATCTTGAGCTTCTTGCATCCAGTTTGTGGTGATGCGCTTGATATCATCCGTCCATCTAGTCGGTGGTCGTCCTCTGCTTCGATATGCCTCTTGCCGTGGTCACCATTCCAGAATCTTTCTGGTCCATCTATCATCCGATAATCTGGCAACATGTCCGGCCCAAGCCCATTTAGCCATGGCTATTTTTTCAGCTGCATCTGTGACTCCTGTTCTTCTTCGAATTTCTATTTTTAGTACTTTATCTCTGATGGTAATACCTAATATTGATCTTTCCATAGTGCGTTGTGTAACTCTTATTTTATCTATTGTTCTTTTTGTCCGAGTCAGTGTTTTTGCACCATATGTAAGAACTGGTAAAACGCACTGATTAAAAACCTTTCTTTTTAAACGAACTGCAATAGTAGACTTGAAAATGTTATTCAATCTACCAAAGGCAGCCCATGTGAGACATATCCTTCTTTGTATTTCAGTTGTCTGATTATCTCGGCCTAAACGAATCTTATACCCTAGATAATTATGTGTAAGCTATTATTTGGTCCATGCTATGGCTCTCAATAAGAATTTTACCGCTGACTACAAGGTTGGTCATAAATTTTGTCTTTGAGGTGTTAATTTTAATACCGATTATTGTTGACACTTTATTGAGCGTGTGCAGGATTCTTGTAGCTTTATCAACTCTATCAGATATTAAAATGATGTCATCGGCAATTCTTGGGTGATTTAGATCTTCCCCATTTATATTAATTTTCATATTATCCTCTCGTTCTATTTGCTTGAACATATATTCAAGAACAGCTGTAAACAATTTAGCTGTAAACAATACCAGTTTCGTAAATACTTTACGAAATAATAATAAAAATAATAATATTTAAAAAATTAAATAATTAAGATAAAAATAGGTGGAAAATTTTACAGGAGGCCTACGTTTAGCAGTGGACAAATATAGGCTGATTGATGATGATGAAGAGAAGACTTCCAATATAAAGAAGTCCTCTTTATCTGGAGGAGGTACAGTTCCATGGTCTCCGTTTTTCTAGCTAAGTGGCCGAAGTTATTTAGGTACGCTTGATCGTCCATGTTTTTTTGAGCTGCGTTTGTATCAATGAAAAAAAAATATGAGCATTGACCATTATGAGCTTATTGTTCGGTCATTCCATATTTTAATCAATTTAGCTATTGCGGTTCGGGTTATTGCTAGTCTAAGCTTAATTCCTGAGGAAGAATCGCCATTGTTGGTTATCAGGGAGACAAATCTGTCCACCAGTTCAAAATTCGCCACTTGGTGTAATTGCGATAGATTATTATTTGCTCTTTCTACGATTTTGTCTACGATTATTTTTGTTTTTCCGGTGTTGATCCTAAGTCTGAATATTTTGCGTTCAGAGATGGTAATCATTTCGACTTTATTCGCTGCTAGTATAAGTGTCTCATCTGCGTATCGCAGGTTGCTGTTTTTTCTGCGTCCCATATGATTCCACCATCACATTCGTCTAGTGCTTTTCTTATTATATGTTCAGAATATATGTTGTATAATAATGGTGATAGTATGCAGCCCTGTCTAGTTATTTTCTTTGTTTTGAACGCATCTGGATATATTCCTTGTATTTTAACTTTGGCTAAGTTTTTATCAAACATATTTCTTATTAGGTTAACTAGGCGGTTAAGTACTCCCATATTTTCCATTAAACTCTAGAAGGATCCCATTTTACTCAGTCGAAAGCCTTTGTGTAATCTACGAAACAGAGAACTAAATGCGAGCGTCTTACCCCTATAAGCATAAACCAACTAATTGTTTTTACATTTCTATTGTACCGAACAAACAAAATACACTGGAACTTGAAAAAACATATAAAATCGAAAAAAAACAGTTATTTTATTTTATGTTTTTTCAAGTTCCAGTGTATTTTGTTTAAATTTTTCTAAGTGGACCTGAAATTGTTATTAAAAAATAACTTATAACAAAAAAACAATTTCCCGAATCGCTTCAAGTAAAATTTTTTTAGGCGTATCTCATCGAAATAAAAACTTTTTCTATTATGGTAATTTTTTAAAAAATGCTTCCTTTTCGAGTTATTTACAATTTTTTGTTAAAAAGAATGTTTTCTAGTGAAAAGCTTTATAATATTTAAACCTTCAAGTATAGGTGAGAATATTTAAATTCTATCTGACCCAGAACATAAAAGCTGATTTATTTTTTTATTTATTATCTTTTGGTAGTTATTCTGGACTGAAGAGTAGATAAGGTTTGTTAATTTTTGGCTAATCTGTTGTTTAAAGAAAACTGATGTTGAGTCGTTTTACAATGCATCAATATTGTATTTGGGTGAATTCGTTTCTAGTGGTTTGGATTGCAGTGATTGGTTGATATATAAGTATAATTGTCGTGGTGGATATTGTAGGTAACATTTTAATCTTACTATATAGTATAGTTTATTTTTATGAACGAGAGAGTAATTAGCATAATTTTAACTGGTACATCCGACCACTCCATGGGCGTGCTCAAGATTAATTGAAAAATTACTTTGAATAATTGTAAAAAATAAATGAATTATTTCAGTGTTATAAAGTGTTATGTGTATGTAAACAAAAGTGACCTCTTTTATCACACACTATATTAGAACTGACTGGCCTACATTAAAAAGGGTTTTAAAAAATTCACATTTTTTTTTAATTTTTAAAAATTACAAAAGAGAAAAAGAGTTTTTAAAACCGTCTAAGGTATGTTAAATAGATGAATAAAAATATTAATATAAAACTTACAGCTACTTGTTACAAATCCAAATCAGATTCAGAAGATGAACTTTCAGAACCAAGATTTATAATAACTGGCTCGATCATTTTATCAGTAATATTGTCCAGCTTCCACATTTTTTCCTCTTCTTTAATAGTGTGATTTACTGCCTTTTCCCAGTTTTCAGGTTTTACATTATTTACGGCCTCCAAAAACAACTGTTTAACATCATGAATTTTAAAAGTGGTATTTTTTCTTGAAACTTCACTCTTTATCTGTGCCCATACCAGTTCAATCGGGTTTAATTCACAATGATATGGTGGGGATCTAAGTACTGTCATTCCATAATTTTTGGCAATTTCATCAATTTCGTATTTTTTAAATTTTTCTTTATGAAGGGCACACAACGAATAAAGTTCCTTTATTATAGATCCGGGATGGTACGTAATATTTTTTGAACTCAGCCAATTCTGCAAGTCTTTTTTTAACCACTTGGTTGTGGGCAGTCCTTCTATATAGGTAGGTACTTATTAAACTTTTATTGGTTATATATAACCAATAAAATAAACATCTTACATTTCTTGCAAATTCATTAGTACCTGTTAACCTCCATCATTCCGACACTGACAACCTTATTTAGGGATTAGTAACCCTCACAACTATTGTATTCTATTCTGCTCCAAACTTTATACCTGGTGGTCATACTCAATTTAAAATTGTTTTCCTATATACTTCTGTAAACTTGTTGACAAATATCTGTTTTTCATTGAGTCACCCGTATCAACAGTTTAGGGATTTGCATACATAATTTATTGTTTTATTACTCTCTCATACATAAAAATACACTATAGTCAGTTACGCACTTTGGTCATCTTAACACTCTTACGTCTTCCAATTGTGTGTGTGTTTCTTGTTGCGTGATAGCATAATCTATAATTGACTTGGTGTTTTAAGTTGGTTGGAGCTGTATTAAGTGTTTGTTTTTATGTTGGTATAACCCGTTAAGGATTTTCAGAGAGTGCTGTTCGCAGAATTCGATTAACTGATCCCAATTTTCAGTTATTTTAGCATCTCCATATTTGCTACGTCTTTGTTATTTAATTTTTTTCCTGTTCGAGCATTCAAATCTCCCAACAGCATAATTTTTTGCGGCCATTTATGTTTTCAATAAGTTCTGATAACGTTTAGTGCAATATTTGTTTATCTGTTTTTGCAGTATTTTCTGATGGCGCATATATTCCAATGATCTCGAGATCGTGGCCTTTTTATGTAACAGATACTCTTATAACTCTCTTATTAATTTGTCCCCAGCTTTTCAGGTTTCCTTTGAAGTCTCTTTTTATCAATATTGATATAACCGCTTTTGCTCTCTTGTCTTTCGCTACTCCCCTATAAATGTGTATAAAACCTTCTACTTTTTTGTTACCTTATCTTTTTTTGTTTTTGTAAGAACTGTGATATCTGATTTTATTTTTTGTACTTCTGCTAAGACTCCGTCTAACTTGGTTCCATACCCTTGGGTATCTCATTTATATTAAAAGTCCTTGTTCTTTTACTATGTCGTCTTCGTTTTTCTCGTTCTTATTCCGAGTCTGGATTTTAAATTTTTTTGCAGTTGTAGAGAAACAGGCTTACGTCCAAATCCCTACCAGGAAGACCAGGTCTGTTAGGGTTTACTCAATTAGGCAAGAATATATAGTAGAAGGAAATATAGTAACCCGTCTGTTCTTGGACACCTAAGTTCAGAGTCAGAAGAATTAAGAGTTAGCCAAGAGCGGTTGATAGGAAATATTAAAGACATTTTACTTAACACAAGTTGAAACGTGAAGGTCGCTTTAATCCGCCAGGTGCGTTTGATAAGCGTATGAATATTAACACACTTGGTGTTCCCGCTCATACCTCGGGATGTTCACTACATACTGTATGGCTCGTCCAGCATGCCGTACCATGGAGGATAGGGCGCACATCATTTTTATAATGAAGAAACTCCAAATCGATGGCCTAACTTAATTTTTTCACATAATTATGACCATTTACTTTTCAATTGATTAAAAATATCAATATTATTATTGATTTATTTCACATTATTAAATAGTAATCCTGAATTAATACATATCTCGTTTAAATATTTCAGGTAGTTTGGATTTGCATCCTCTGTCGAAAAAAGCAAGAACTTCTTAGCAAAACTGGACAGTGGATGTTTGGTGGTCCAAATGCAGACCCTGATTTGCCTCAACTGCAACAAGCGCCATCTGATAAAAGGCCGAAATTAGAACGAGCGCATTCAGCAGCCGAAAAAGAAAATCAACCTCTTCAAAGATCAGGTAGCTTGTTAAGGAGACAATATTCAGAACAAGAACCAAGGGCACCTTCTTGTGAAAGGTACCAACAATTTAATGAGGAGGATCCTCGATTTTATCAAGGAGAGTTGGAAGGACTGATGAGAACGCATCCGCATCTTGTACCAAGACGGTAAGCCACACATATTATATTCCTTATTTTCAATAAAAAAATTTGTGATACTGGAAGGGAGGTGGTTGACAAATGGCAGATATTTATATCGTTAAACGGTATCTCCTTTGGAATAAAAATCGACCTGTTTTACGATTTTTGTAAAATCCAATGAATATTGTTAAATATCATGGTGAACAAATAGCCAACTATAATATATGTAAGTTTCTTCTTCTCGTGCCACTCCTAGCGGAGATTGAAAATCATCATGGCCACTGCGACTTTGTTAGCAGCGCGCCTAAAAAGTTCAATCGAACTACACCCGAACCATTCACGTAGATTACGAAGCCACGATATTTTTCTTCTTCCCACATTTCTTTTGCCCTTAATTTTGCCCTGCATGATGTTTCTTAAAAGTTCGTACTTTTTACCTCTCACAATGTGCCCCAAGTATTCCATCTTTCTAGTTTTTATCTCATTTAGAATTTCGCATCTTTTGTCTAAAGTTTGGAGTACTTGCGTGTTAGTGACGCGGTCCATCCATGATATTCTGAGAATGCGCCTATAGCACCACATCTCGAAAGCTTCGATGTTTTTTATGGTTAACTGTTTTAGTGTCCAAGCCTCAACTCCATATAACAGGGTAGAAAAGACATAACACCGCAGCATTCGTATTCGTAACTTTATATTGATATCACGATTGCAAAAGAGTTTGCGCATTCTATTAAAGACTGATCTAGCGATTTCTATTCTACATATAATCTCTTTTGTTTGATCAGTATCGTCTGTGATCCAAGCACCTAGATATTTATAACAGGGCACACGCTCAATCGTTGTATTGTCTATTACAAGATTAGCTCTGATGTTCTTTGATTTTGTGATTACCATAAATTTAGTTTTTTTCAAATTAATTTTCAAGCCGTAACTGTTACAGTATATATTGAGACTTTGAACGAGATGTTGTAGTTCTACTAGCGTTCCCGTTAGGAGAACTGTATCGTCAGCATACCTTATATTGTTGATCGTCTCACCATTTATTATTAGACCAAGATCTTCTTTCTCAAGTGCTTGTTCACAGATAGCTTCACTATACAGATTAAATAAAAGTGGCGATAAGATACATCCCTGCCGGACTCCTCGACGGATTTGAATTTTTTCTGTTAGTCTGCCCTCAATTAGTCTATATTTTTCTTTATTAGAACTTGTCTTAGTGGTTCATCTTGTACTTTGTCAAAGGCCTTTTCGAAATCAATAAAGCAGGCGTAAATTTCTTGGTTCATGTCTAAGCATCTCTGTAAGAGAACGTTCATTGCAAACAGAGCCTCCCTTGTACCCAGCCCTTTTCTGAATCCCATCTGAGTGTTACTGATGTCTACGTCTAATTTTCTATAGATACTATTATGGATTATTTTTAAGAACAGTTTTAGAGCATGACTCATCAAAGCTATCGTACGATATTCGTTGCATTCCTTTGTTTTTGCCTTTTTTGGCAGTAGTATAAAGGTCGAACGGAGCCATTCCCTAGGTATTATTCCAGTTCTATATATTGTGTTAATATGTAAGTTTAGTTAGGTACAATTTTTTTTTTTAAATATGTAAGTTTAGTTAGGTACAATTTTTTTTGTATTAACTAAAGACTTTTAAGCGACTTAATATTTCTATCCACTAGAATATTATTTCGGTTATAGTAGACTTTAATAAAATATATAAAACATGGTATTTTGATTTAGTTTATCACCGACTTAAGCAGGACCTCATAATACAAAATTTGGTTATCGGTATCACGCAAGTGACCGTGTTTATGACTTATTAGCCTTAATCCGTTAGATGTAACAAAGATACCAGATAAACTAGTATTTAATTCAAATAGCGGAAAAGCAACATAGAGGTGTAAAGTTTTACGAATGTAATAACAAGAAAATTAATCATAAATATATTATAATACGCTGATAATCTAGATATAATCAAACATTTATGAGCGTAGTCGGTAAATATAAACGTAATGGTTTAATAAAGCAAAAGAAGTTTATTGTTTGGAGAAAAGGGTAACCAATATATTCGTATATATATATATATATATATATATATATATATATATATATATATATATATATATATATATATATATATATGATAAGGATCACTCAGACGAGTGGTGGGTTCTTATATCGGTCTCAAGGTGGAGAAATAAAAAGGCAAAGTTGATAGACTACTTTATCCATTTTGAAAACGTTTCGCTTTCGTATTATGAAAGCATCATCAGTTCATCTGAAAATTACAATATTAGAACCACACAATCATGGAAAAAATGTTTCAAGTGTTACCTTAAAAAGACATGTAGCAATCAATGATATTAAAAAAGTAAGATTAGCAACTTATTAAAAATTAGCACAGCAAAAGAACATGTGGTCTAATGTACATGTAATATTTTTTTATTATATTATAACATTAAGTAGTAAATGAAGAACTAAGAATATCATAGATTCACTTCCAACTATATAAGCAAAAATTATGGTTTGATTTTAACCTTTGGTAGCATTATTAAAGGAATTAGTATTAAAATTTAAAAAATTATAGTGCATAATGAAGTTACCAATCAGAGCCTCACAACTGCCGCCGGTAAAATGGCGTTAATTGAAACAGATAGCGCCAACAGCGTGAAAAGACAGCCAACCTTGAGGTCTTGAAAACTAAGACAGAACTACAAGGTTGTAATACCAACCCAATTTATAGGGCAGTGCATTTGAAAATTCAAATGAGTTTGGGTGATAACCCGTCTGTAAGAGACCAAACAATGAAAGAAACTGGTATTGATAACATCAATTCCTCCCATCAATCAGTCTATATATATATATATATATATATATATATATATATATATATATATATATATATATATAAACCGTCAACGTTGCAGCTGGATACTCAGCCACAGGTGATCAACGATAATAATTTCCAACAGTCCAAGGTTCAGTCACTTGGAACTGTAATTTGTGGGAGATTCTATTAATTACATTATTTGTATTGATATTTATTCATTAAACAATTTACACTAATCTGTGTATAGGAAACAAGTAAATGCAATGTGAGTTGCATAAGTATATATGAGTTAAGTAAAAGTATTGAAATATTTTATTTATGTTATGAATTTATTTTATTGTAATATGTTAATTATATTTTAAATTATTTAATAAACAAATGTGTTAAAAAAGTACACCTTACAAGACAATTATATAGTAAATAGCTCGTTAAGCCTAATTCTGCAAAATTAAAGCATGATACATTTGGCTCAAGTTATTTATGTCAGTTCTCTTGTTCAGAGCATTTGGGTGTTTAAGAATTGAACAAAATTTTTTCCAAAATTTTTCCAAAAACTGTCTTTTAACGAGATCGCGTTCAGTGCCAAGAATCTTAACTTCATTAAAATCCACCTTATGTTTAGTACTGATGGCATGTAGTATTGATAGCACAAGTGTGCTTTGCTAGAATAATGTCACTAAGATGTGTAGTGAGACGACCTTTTAATGATCTCCCATTTTGACCAATATAACATGAATCACACTCGGCACACGGAATATGATAAATGGTGTTAACTTGTTCCAAAGTGGACAAGGGTGTGTTAGTTTTTGAAAACAAATGTCTAACAGTCTTAGCGTTCTTGACCGCAATTTTGACAGGTATGTTATTCTGTTTATACAGTTTAATAAGTTTCTCAGTAACTTGAGGAAAATAAGGTAAAGATGAGTAATGGGTGGTAGGATTCCCAAGATCAGTATCAGGCAGAACAATGCTATGAATTGAATTATTTGATATGGTTCTAAGTTGGTCACCATTGGGTATGTCATCAAACGAGGATCCATAACTTTGTGAGTAAAGGTATTTATTAATGATAGAAGAAGGATATGAATTCTCAATTAGAATATTTGTCAATAATTTAAGGGATTCCCTTCGATTAATCGGATGTGTCAATTTATTTAATCGGCAGCTTAGAGCTTTAATAAGGTTTAATTTATATTTCATAGGATTACAGGAATGTTAGTTAGGGAACCTATTAGAGGCCATCGGTTTTCTATACCAACTTGTGGTTAGGGTGTTATCTCCCATTCTAATGACACTCATGTCTAAAAAGGGAACACTATTATATCCAAGGGCTAATTGCTAGATTAGTTGGTCTCTTTGTCCTTTTTCTTGTGTGGTTCGTTCAATTCCGAGACTTCTGTTCGGTTCTATGAGTATTGATTTTTTTGACAGTAGGTAGGCTGCTAACCCTGCTCACCAACCCCCTTTCGGAGGACCATTTCTCCTTTCCTCGTCAGCCCTGACTCTGCCTTCCATTAGGGTTGGTTACCCAATCTCCAGCAAGGTTGCTCAGGTTTTTCTAGAGTCTACCCGTGCAGCCCAAGCCGTACTTCGTGAAGGTGAAGATAGGAATTGAGTAGGAGAAGCTAGAGAATGCTAACTTGAAACAGCATCTTATATTGCGCTTCACTACCCTTTTGAACCCCAAAAAATGTAAGAAACTCATTTGTCTGATTCACATAAACAGCTTTTGCAATATTTGCAGTTAGATATTTACAGAAATACCACAAGATGACATAAATGAGGGAGGGGTATAATACATAACTTAATGCTTTTTTAGGAGTACTACTTCAGATTTTAGAAAAAGTTAAATAGTTATCTTTTGCGTTAATGATTTGTAATTGAATGAATTTTCAAGTTTTTTATGTTTGTTTAGTATGTACATGGATGACATACAGTATTGTGCAAATTAATGTGAACAGAGATCGAAATTCAGATTTCATAATTTGGCACACCTGTTGTGCGTATTCTGTCAACTGTTTTGTCAAAAACAACATAACCTCAAAACCTTATTAGTATATTGTTCAAAACAGGTGCTTTGTGTTTTATATCATTATTATATTTTGTTGTATCTCAGGTTATGTGCAAGTTGGTGTTATTTTCATTGATTTAACTGTGCAATCAGTTATAACTGTTTAATAGGGATATCACTCCTAGAAAAAGAGAAAGGATCATAACACTTAGTGAGCATACACCAATGACTCAGGAGGACATTGCAAACAAGTGTTGTGTAAGTTTGGGTGCAGTAAACAAAATCATTAAACAAAAAAAGGAAACAGGGTCAATTGAAGTGCAGCGGAAAGTAAAATGTGGAAGAAAACGGAAGACTACTCCTCGAGATTAAACCTTTCTTTTGCGCGATAGCAAACTTCATCCCAAAAAAACAAGTTATGACCTACAGCAAGATTTAGAAAGGGCTGGAATAAAAATTCACTGCTCAACGGTACGCAGACGTCTCTTAAAAGGAGGGAGGAGAAGAGCTGTGAGACCGAAGAAGAAACAACTTCTGACAACGCCTATGATAAAAAAAAGAATAAATTGGGCAAAAAATACGCTCATTAGAGTGCAGAAGATTGGAGAAAAGTGTTATTTTCTAATGTGATCCACTTCCTAATGCAGGGCCAGCGATCAGATTTCGTACGAAAGGCAGCCAATGAGTCATTTTCAGATAGCCATATTAACCAAACAGTTAAACATCCCATCAAAAAAATGTTCTGTGGCTGATTTTCATACTCTTATTTCAATTGAAGGTATGATGAACGGTGAAAAGTACAAAGCCATGCTAGGGCAACGCTTAGCTATAGAGCTTACCAAAGTACAGGCCGAAGGGACTGCAATTTTTCAACAATATTCAGCTCCTTGCCATGTATCGAAGGTTATGATGAAATACTTTAAGGATAATAATATTACCCTTCTTGATTGACCTGGGAATTCACCTAACCTTAATATTATTGAAAATTAGTGGGCAATATGTAAGGCTAAACTGCAAAATTTGACTGTACGACAAAAACAATGGTGGAAGCACTGATTAAGGTGTGGTTTAGAGATGAAGCAATCACAAACAATTGCAAAAAACTTACAGATTCCATGACCAGAAGACTCCAGGAAGTCATAAAAAAAAGAGGGACAGATTAAATACTAATTAATGAAAAAATCTCTTGTAAGTGTACGTAAATTTACCTTTGGCCTAAATAAATCATCTTCTTCTTAGAGTGCCATATCCCTACGGAACGTCGGCGACTACTATGCTTACAATATTGTTATACTGATCTTGGTCTTGCGCTACGTGTAGCAATTGGCCCGCTGTCAAACCTGTCCACTGCCGTAAATTCCTCAAATAAGAGAGTTTCTTCCGTCCTATCCATTTCTTTTCTTCGATTTTACCGTTGAGAATTAGCCGAAGGAACTCATATCTTGGTCCTATTGATTAGCTCCTGCAGATCGTCGATGTTTTCAGCTAGAATCACAGTATCGTCGGCGTACCGTATGTTGTTAATTATTTCTCCTCCTATGATAATTCCTTTTTGATCTTTTAAAGCTTCCCTAAATAGATTCTCAGAATACACGTTAAAGAGGGTGGGAGATAGGATACAGCCTTGTCTTATGCCTCGTTCAATACTGATTGGCTTTAATTCTTTGTTGTTGGTATTAATAATGTCTGTTTGGTTCCAGTAAAGTTTGGCAATAAGTTTTAATGTCTTTCTCATCTAGTTGGATGCTCTGCAAGGCGGTAATTAGTCTGGTATGCTGAACGCCATCAAATGCCTTTTAAAAATCAATGAAGCACATATGTTCGGGTTTTCTTACCTCCAAACATCGTTGAAGGAGTGTTTGCATAGAAAATAGTGCTTCTCTAGTTCCAAGGCACCTCCGGAACCCGAACTGCTCTTGAATAATTATTTCTTCGCACTTGTTAATTCGGTTTAGAAGAATATGCAACAGTATTTTAACGGCATGGCTCATTAAACTAATGAGTCTACAGTCGCTACATTTCTTAACGTTTGGTTTCTTAAGTAGAGGAATAAAGATCGATTTTAACCAGTCCGATGGAATTTCACTGGTATCATATATTTGATTAAAAAGTACAGTGAGTTCTTTTATATTGTCATTTGAGAGTAATTTTAGCCATTCGCTGTATATTTGATCTGGTCCACTGGCTTTGTTGTTTTTGGCTTGGTGTACGGCTTTTTCCACTTCAGCTTTTAAGATTGATGGTCCTGTATTTGCACTTAAGTTAGGTAGTGATCCTCGATCATCCTTAAATAATGCTTTAATGTAGTTATCCCATTCCTCCATTACTTCGTGTTCTAGGGATAGTGCATGACCTTCATTATTGGTTAATGTTATAGGTGTATTTCTTTTGTGTACTGTAACTTCAAATAAGTCATATTTACAAATTAATTCTGTTTTTTCACATTAATTCGCATAATACTGTATAGTAAATGCATAGTATTAAATTAAGTTGTTATTATTTTGGCCCGACGCACCCATTTCTTTTGGTTTAAAGACTGCGGCGCCCGACAGAAGGTTAAATGGAAGAATTTAGGAAAAGCGAGCATTGGAAGAGCGAGAAAGCGTTGGAAGGATGATGTGGATGGGGATGTCATAAATCTCGCTGTTATTCAAATACGACTTAATCTAGGCAAAATCGTTATAACACAGTTTTGTGTGTATTATTTGTAAAATATTGTTTTAAAAAGAATTCTAAAATTTTATATTAAACGAATTACTAATTCGCATAAATTATTTTTTCAGGTATCCAGAACAAGAGGCTGAACCCGTTCAAATGGAGCATTCCCAGCAAAGGGTCCAACCCATGGCGAGTGCTAATAAAAAACACAAACGAAGCGGTTCAACAAAAAAGCATCAACAACACGCCCCACCCCAAGTGCAACTTCATAATTATTCCAGTTCAGAAGAAGATCTGAAGTCCACTCCAGAATACGGTAGTGATGAAAGAGATAGTGAGAAAGGTAAGACACACTTGGTAGTTTCTATTTAGGGTAGTTTAGAATAGATTTCGACTCTTTGAGGTTGTTGCTCCCATAACTTTAGAAAAAATTGTTCTTTTATTCTCCATTTGTAGATGTTTTAGTAAATTTCTACACGCAAAATAACGAATGTTGTGATTAAAGTGAGTACTTAAGTTGATGTAAATTTCTTTTGCTGTACATATAAAACTTGTATAAAATATTTGGATTAGTTCATAAGTTAATGACTTCCTAAATTCCTAAGAAAAATATTTAAAACAAGTTTTTAAAATTGTAACATGTAAATACTTGTTAAAAAAATCTATTAAAATGTAAGATCGTCAAGATACTACATGTATATATCTTCTTTACACAGAAATTAAAAAAAAAATTAGTGAGAAGTACGATAAGTATTTTTTAAAAATTAATATATAAATGAACTTTGAAGAATAAGGCTATTATCGAGCACAAGTTAATTAAATCTAGCCCAAGTACTTTCGCTTAAAATAGCATCTTCAGGGGCATTTCGTCAAATATAAACTATCCGGCAAGCGTAGAATGTGGAAACATTAATAATGACATAAAATTGTACAAAACACTACACTAAAACGAGGACAAACAGTTTAAAATTACTTAAAAGATTCTACGCTACATTCTTTGTCAGTATCTGGAGGGAAATGATATTTTATAAGGAATTTATTTGATAAGGAATAATTATATTTGACGAAATGCCCCTGAAGATGCTATTTTAAGCGAAAGTACTTGGGCTAGATTTTAATTAACTTGTGCTCGATAATAGCCTTATTTTTCAAAGTTCATTTATTCGAGCATTCAACCTTATTTCAATTAATATATAAATAGCTGGGTAATTTATTATTTAACATTGTTTATATATGCTGTATCTGACTATTGGTTTTCCACAAAATTAGACTTTTATGCAGAAAAGCATTTGCTGAGATTTGCTCCTTAAAATGGGGTAAGTCCCCGCGGTGTGGGATTTTTACCCTTATCGTGGTAAAAGTTCAGAAATGCTTATAATAATGCAATAAACATGCTTTTATTAACCAATAATAAGCTTCTTCTCTTACAAAAATAAAAAAAAATATTTCTTTAAAAGTCATAGTTATTTTAATACATAGTAAAACTAGTCAGAAAAAATGACATTATGAAATCTTGAATAATTCATTTCAGCACTCTTTTACAATCTTAAAAGTATATCCTTATTATCAATGAAAGACTCTTCGTTTGATTTTGCAAACTTGTAAGTAGTTGGTGAAGGTCCATAAAATACTGCATCACAATCTTCTAGATAGACAGCAATAATCTTAACTACGTAAGTATGGAAATAATTTTTTTTCTTAATCCTTAACTACTTCATATTTATTTGGTATAATTGTTGATTCAGTGCCTTGCAGTGAGTTATCAATCTCTTCTTCCTGGACATTAACCTTCTCTTCAAAAAAAAAAAAAAAATCGTACTCAGCACTACTATTGTGAATGGAATAATAGGCATCGGATTCGAAGAGTATTGTTATTTGAAGTTCTTATTTTTCCTTTTTGGGATTATAGTAGAAAAAGAGTATTTTTTCATTTTCTATTTCAGATGCTTTTGTCGTTTTAAAGCTCATATTACCTTTTCACTCAGTTGTTTATCCTTTTCAGATTTTTTCTTCTTCAAACGCTCTTAAGTAGGTGTTAAAGTCAGCACCTCAATCCTATTTTAATGTTTCTAATCCGTTTTTTTATACGCTTTCTTTTCAATTTTATTTAAGGTAGAGGAAGCATACCTTTGGTAGATGATATTTGAGTTTGACAAGAAAAATAATCTCCTCTTGTAAAGGGTGTAATTTCATGTTGGGACTTGTGTAATACATCGCGATCTGCTTCTGGGGCAATTAAACCTGAAGTGAACTGTTGATCATAAATAATATGTTCTGAAACAGAAAGCAAATTATTTAACTGATTTTCGCTAATATTACATATTAACTGTCGATCATCATCATATGGCTATTTATCCGGTGGTTGATTTGAAACCTCTGATTATAGAAAATCAACCTAAGAGAAAATATTTGTGTTGGAGGAATAGATCTTAGTAGCTCGGAAGACTTGAGTTGTTTGATCTTGCTCCGCTGCTTATCGACTTCTCTTTTTCTCAGCTAAAGATACGCGTACATGCTTTGTAAGAATATTTTCAATCGTTTGAACTCCTGTTTGAACATTAAAAATGTGACTTGGACCAAAGCTGAATTTTTTGTCTTAGAATTGTCTCTAAATTAGCACAATATTGAGAATGTTGATCCTTGTTTAACGCCATTGTTCTGACAACACATGTTTTTGGGGGAACATGAAGAGACATCCTATATATATATATATATATATATATAATATATATATATATATATATTATATATATATATATATATATATTACAGGATCCAACTTGTAAATACAATACATTTTGAAGACATCTATGCATGCATTCCCGTTCTCCTCCGCCAATCCTCCCGGTCCAAGGCATGCTCCTCTTCCAAATCTCTCGATTACATTTCTAATTCCTTCATATCCTATTTCTTTTCATACAATTACGAGTAAAATCACTTTCTGCAAGCTCTGTGTAACAGAGTAACTTATGGGGAATATTGTTTCTCTCCACATATTTGTATAAAAAAAATCTTAGAGATTTTAAAGTAAGGCCAAAAAACTTCTTGTTAAGATCAATATAATGCCGTACTATTTCTGCTTCGTGATATGTTGAGAATGTTGCTCAAAATCGCCCTATACCTCTATATAGCATATATCTCCTGCAAAAAACGCACTAACCTACAAATTTATCGTTATATTTTTATTCTAATTGTATGTATGCCTATGGAGTTCTAGGCATTGTTCTATTGTATGTACATTCTAGTATCTAAGATTGTATAGTAGGTCACAATGCCATAAGATCTTTTGACATCCTTTTAGTGAAGTATTCCTTTTAAAATTTCAGTGATTTCAGGGAAACTATATCTATAAGAATATAGATACTTATATCTTTTTAGTATGCACCTATTCAGATCATTTTTTCTTTTTTTTACATGACTTTTTTGCGATGCGTTATATAAAAATATAAGACCGTTTCGATATTTTTTCATAAATTATTATACTTAAAATTAAAATGTTTCTTTTTTATAAACGTATTCCATGTATTTGTTTTTAAGTAAATGGGAAGTAGGAAGTTAAACTTATCTTTAATTGTACATACCATCTTTTTCTTTTCTGAGGGTGGAAATTTCTAAAAACCGTATCAAGTTAACCCATCTTAGAAATAGTTGGCGTGTATTGGATTCAGGATACAGGAGTACATTCGAATCCATTTTCTCCTGACAGGAGGTCCTGAAAACAGATGCCTTTCTGTTATCCGGCCTACCAACCAAAACCATCCCCTCCAACTTGTGCGCAGTTGACTGTTGCACGTGCCGTACTCCGAAAGTGCGATGGGTGGATTTTTACATATAGATTCTATTTCTCTCCACTGTCTATCTACTACACTCCAGTGTTGTTTGAGTAATAGTGTCGGAGTATTACTCACCCTACAGTCCACACAATCCCTTAGGCTCGGAATCAGTATCCTAGTCCAATGAGCAACATCTTCTATTGTGTTCCAATCTTGACATTTTTTCATTGATCTTTCCCGTTTTTCTTTTTTTTATGGCTGTTCTCTATCAAATGTTGTGTTCTCTCATAGAGGGGTCTCCTTTTTACTGCTAACATATGCAGAGAAACGCAACCCTTGATAGCCCTTGATTTGTATCATGAGCCCCTTGTAAGTTGGTATCTTCGCTACCCGAAAGTACAGACAACGCAGAAGTCAGACAGTATAAAATAGTACTGTATAAACAAGTCAGAGTTTACACAAAACGAAATTGTACAAATTACAAGAGGTGCTCTATGCTTTGCGTTTTATACTGATTGGTCCAAAACATAAGAGGAAGTAGAAAAATGAATAACTGGTTCTGTTCAATACCACCAAAATATTTTAGGCAAAACTGCTAGCAATCAATTTTTTTGCTCAGAAGCTCCTGAGAGAGGCCTAATTTAGAAAAATTTATTGTCTCAAATAACCAAGCTACATTAAAGGCTCTGAGTCTTTAACTTACGAGTCGGTAATAGCTTGGATCTGCATATAGTTCATTAAGCAACTGACAAGGTACAACAAAGTAACTTCGCTTTGACTGCCAAGGCATCAAAAAAGATTACTAAAGCCTTCTGCTCGATACACAAAAATACTCTAGGCGCTTTGGAAGACTCTGAACTCAGATTAATGAATGAACTTAGCAATGCTGCTTTAAAAATGCTCATAACTAGGTTAATGTTTTCGTATAAATATAAAAATATCACATTATATGCATCGTTTTTACCATTTATTGTAAACGTGTTCCCATATTTCTCATGTCTTCATCAATGTTATCAAGGAACCCTCTTCTGGGTCTTCCTTTTCTTTTCTGACCAATGGGCATTTAACAAGCGACTTTTAGGTGCGTCATTTTTGTTCCATTCGCATTACATGCTCTACCCAACTCAGATGTCCTATCTTAATAAATTTTACTGTATCTTCTTCCTGGTATATCGTAAAAGTTTGAAGTTGTATCGTCTTCTCCAACTCCAATATACCACTCACTTTGCCTTGATATTTTTCTATAAACTCATCCTAACATATTTTCAATTCTTTTTGTTAGAATCCTTTAAACCCAAATGTTAGGACTGCGTGTATTATTGTTTGGTAGAGTTTTGCCCACCGAGAGGTATTGGTTGACATTACAAATTCTTCTACCCCACCAAAATATCTGGCCAGCGTTATGGGATGGTCAAAACCTCTAAAGAAAATGAAAAATGTCGATTTTAAGAGAGGCGCCGAAAGTATCGAAGGGTAGGAATTTTATTCCACAATTCCACACCGAAGCAATAGTCTTTCTCAATGATTCTGATATAGGGGGCAAGTCGACATTGGAGAAGAACAATATACGTTTCATGGCAAAAGATGAAAAACTGTACGAACTAAAAAAGGGATGGAGGAACGTGAATTGGGATATAATTGGATTATTAGAAGTTAAAAAAAGGTGAAGGGTATTCAGGCAACATTTACGTCCACATCTAGCCATTTACGTCCACATCTGAACATAAGCCTCTTCAAGTCTTCCTCAAGTCTTCCTTTCCATTGTTTCACAGAACTACCAAAAATTAAATAGACTATCTTCTCCCAAATAACAAAGGAATATTTGAAGGCGTTACAGCGAACATAACAACTGATAGTGACCATCGTATAGTTAGAACGAAAATAAATATTAACATGAACCAAGAGAAAACAAATCTTTAAAAAAAAAACAATTGAAGTGAAGTTCAATTTGGATTCAGAGCAGGACTCGGAACGAAAGAAGCACCTTTTAGTTTGCAAGTTCTAATACAGAGAGACAGGAATGTCAACTGCGATGTGTATGCATGTTTCATTGATTTCGAGAAGGCATTTGATAAAGTCCCTCATGGGAAACTAATATCATCCTAAACTAATATCCTAAAAACATCAGGACTCGATGGTAAGGATATAAGACTGATCTCAAACTTATATCTCTAACAAAAAGCAACAGTACGATTAGAAAATGAACTATCCGAGATCTTTACAGTCGAAAACGAAGTTAGACAGGGTTGCATATTGTCACCGGCATTATTTAACATATACTCTGAAAACATCTTTAGAGAGGCCTTGGACGAATCAGAAGATGGGATTACTGTAAATGGCTAACTTATAAACAACATTAGATACAGTGTTGCTGGCAGATAGTGCGCAGGGGCTCCAAAGGATGATGAATAACGTTGTAGAGGCATGCAACAAATATGGCCTAAAACTAAATTGCAAGAAAACAAATATAATGATCATTAGTAAGAATACCGGCATAACGCCCAAATTACAATTAACGATACACCGTTAGAAAGAGTGGGAAAAATATGCTATTTGGGTTGCAATATTCAGGATACTTGGGATCACTTCTATGAAATAAAAAACGCGAATAGACGCCTTCAAAGTAAGAACAAACGGTCTTAGTGGGTAAGTTCGAATCAGCTTCTTCACATAATCAAGACCCAATTAACGACATTTGCAAAAACATAAATAAAAACCTTCTTGAAGCCGGATTTCAGGTCGCAAAGAAAGCAAGAACTAAAAAGACAAAATAAACAACGCAACTAAACAACTAATGAAAGAAAGAACTTAATAAAACAATTAAAAAGATCTAAAATGCAACCTTAAAAAATTAAACAAGAACTTAATAAAGCAAGTCATTAAACACAACAGAGGCCTAAAATATCTAAGACATCTAAAAAATTATCAAAATTAAACATGAAGAGAAGGACAAAAATAAAATAACAAATATAGTCGAAGACTTCTACAAAACCTTGTAGAGCTCACAAAGCCAATAAATCAACAAAGAAGAACGTCAAATAAATAATAAAAAAATAAAAAAAATAAATGTAAGATATTAAAGGTGCTACCAAATATAGAGGGATTCGAAATAGAAAGAGCTTTAGAAGAGCTAAAAAATAATAAAGCCCCAAGACACAACGGCACAATTGCCAAGCTCTTGAAAACAAGCAAGGTAGTTATAATCCATACACTAACAGAGCTACTTAATATATGTCTCCATAACAGTAAAATCCCTAAAGACTGGAAGAAGAGTCTAGTAATAATCTTACACCAAAAAGGGGACAAATCTGACCTAAATAATTATATACCTATATCCTTACTTAGTCAAGTATACAAACTGTTTATGAGCTTTT